GGTAAAGCAACCCCCATTGTCCTGTTCCTTTTCCTAATAGGAATTTCTGTTGAAAGTATTTATTGCAGCCATAGACAAATTATGATATCCTAGACTGTACTGTAAGACATACAGGTGAAGAAATGCAAATGGATTGGGCACACCCCGAGGAGACCCCCGACAAGCATCACCAGACAAGCGGAAACAGCTAGAAAAGGATGCACAGGACAGGTTGGAGAAATCTTGTTGATGGCCTATGCTCCACTGAGAGTTAAAAAGGGAAAGAGTGAGAGACTGCACAATGATGGCCGCTGCTCTCTGTTCTCTGTAAAACATAACTCACGGACAGGGGGAAAAAAAAACCTAGCTGAACTCACATCTTCCAAATCTGAGGGCTGTATGGAGTTCTCAAAGACCTCGTCCACTGACAGGGCAGACACGAGAGCCACGACGTACGGCATGACCTTGAACTGTCGGCCGAGCAGGAGCATCTTGGCGTAGCGGGGAGACACAGGGAACGCAGCCATCTGGGCACCCACCTCCGTGATAACGGGGCTCGGGCCTGAGAGAAGAAGACACAGATTGCAACAAATTTTCAAGAGCTGGTCTGACAAATAGCAACAAATCTCATGAACCCACCTGACAAATCGAAACAAATCTCATGAACCCACCTGACAAATCGAAACAAATCTCATGAACCCATCTGACAAATCGCAACAAATCTCATGACTTCATTTAACAAATCACAACAAATATCAAACCTCCTTTAGCAAATCACACATTTATAAGAGCTGGCCTGACAAATCACAACAAATCTCATGAACCCATTTAACAAATCTCATACATCTTTAAGCAAATCATAACAAGTTTCATGACTTTGTTCCACAAATCACAACACAAATTAAGACCCCGCGCCCAAAACACCCACTGGGGATGACGAAGGGTTAAAGTTAAAGCTCCTTGGTCCAGGAAATCAGTAAAATATTCTAATTGACCTCCTACATTGTGTACAGTGTCCCTCTATTATTTGATAGGCTATTAACAGCAAGTGTTGCCATTTACTATCAACTGTTGTATTATTTCTGTTATAGTAAGCGTTTTACAGCACTTGCGATGCAATCAGGTCATATAAGTGCCAAAGCTTAGAGGTGCTACAAGAGGGCAACAAACACACAAAAAGAGAGAGAGAGAGAGAAATAAGGGAGACGGATGCTTCATAGGAGAGAGGAACAAACCAGACCTTGACTTATTTCGTTCTGATGTGTGGTTATTCATGAAATATCCAGTAACAAAGGTGATGGTACTCACCATGACAAAGTTGCTGTGTCTTATCTGATAAACAGATCATGAATTTGACCAAAATTTTGGCTCTCAATTGTATCCACGTCTTATCCACAAAGGCATCCTATACACGATAATACATTATCCACATGGTATCTGTGCATGCATCCTATACACCATAATATACGGTACACCACCTTTCACTAAGGCATGCACTCACTCTGTAGAAAGGTAATGCTGGTGCACATTCCAGCCCATAGGATTAGGTTAATGGCAAAAGGGTTTCTTTTCAACAATCTCACCTTTCCGTATGTCTTTGAGTCTGTTGGAAGCTGATGATTTCCTCAGTGCTCCGAGCGACACAAGAACTGTCTCAGCAGCCTGTTCAAGAGGAGCAAGGCAATAAAAACATCAAAGCGATACTTCCGGGAAGGGCAGAGAATTAGAATGAATTTGTGATCTACATCATCAGATGCTGAAAAGACGAAATATTATGATTATTATTATTATAAATAATATCATCATCATCATCATTATTTTTATTATTACAACTATTTTTTTAAAGCCATAAGTTAAACATTAACCCTTAAAACCCTAAGTTAATTTTTTTCATACCCCCTAGAATCCTGAATTAAAATAGGGATACTAGAAAAAATCAGGCTGTTTCATTGTTTCATTTACTGTGTCTTTAACTGTTGTCAGATTTAACTGAAATTTGAATATGTTATGTATATATGAATGCACAGTCTGAACAAAATGGAAAAAGTTAAAACACTGGTTTTTAGGATGAACTATATGAGTAAAGTCTTGTGTGTGATCCCTGACTCCACTACAGTCAAAGCATCATTAAACCCAGCCGTAGATCTAGCTTCTGGCAGCCCTAGTGGTGATCCCCTGCCACTTCCACTATAATCAAAATGATCATCGATGTTATGCGAAACATTGCAATCATCTTCAACAGTCATATCTGTCGATATATGACTGAGACTCATCATCGGTGTCTGGTTCAAGATAAAAAATGCCCAAAATATTGCGACCTGATGGTCCTGGCAGCGAAAAGTCATTCATATTTTTTTTTAACTTGCAAAAATTCCAAACTTTTGGTGTAGAACTCTTATGACATTATCGATACTTTCTGCTCGCGACAGATTCATCTCTGGAGTTACATCCCCTGTTTCTAGCACTGGGAATTAAACGATAAAGTTGACCAGCGGTTACCATCAGTATAGGACAATACGGCGTCAGCAGTTGCCAGCGGTATAGGACAATACGGCGTCAGCGGTTACCAGCGATATAGAGTTTTAAGGGTTAAAAGTCATACCACCATATCCGTGAGTAAATGACATAAATACCTTAATCTGCTCTGGATCCGGAGGCGTTGGGAAAGGAAAGTTGAGCACTTTGTCTATCCTCATACTCTGTGGATGTGAACAAAAGAAGTAGAAAGATAGAACAGACAGCATATTTCGCTTACACAGGTAAACACTGAGTGATTTCTGCCAGTTATCTCTCCCCCCTGCCCTATTAAACTATCAGCAAAACTCACTTTTCATCACCCAAAGATGCAATACGACAAGATGGTTCACTTTCTAAAAAAAATTTTTTAAGTCTCTCAAGAACCTTCCACAACACTCTTTATATTTACTCATAGTGTACTGTTCGACATATGTCACACAGCATAACAGTGCCATAAAATAGATGTTGCCACAAGCATTTCTTTTTTAAGTGCGGCTTTCTTTCATCCAATCTGAGCTGTGAGAGATACAACCAGCAGAAAGACCAAGATTCTCAATAAAAATTCTCCCCATACAAATATCAAACTCAGGCCTTTTGCATGCGAAGGCAAAGAGCCCTAACCACTATACCACAGACACAAGTACCAGCATTTTTGAGGACTTTTGTTTTCAGCACCTCAAATAGAGGAGCGAGTCATCTTGTAGTGTACGATCTTTGAGTACACAGACACAATAAAGAAATGTATCATTGTATAGCATATCAGCTGTGTCATCACTTCACCATCGTTACACTAACATCCTAAAGGTTCATGAAATATCCAACAGAAAGCAAACAGAACAAAAACAGCATGCAACACAAACACACCAGCCATAGCTACTGTAATTGGAACATAACACGCATGTGCACTTGTAAGTGTAAAAGTGTATGGGTTCAACACCACTATCAAAACTATATAGTCAGACCTCCGAATTTAACATCCATCTCTGATACGACCAAGACAAATGGGCTGAGAGCCTTCAAAACTCCACAAAACGACACGAGTCCAAGAACGCCTAGTCTGGGATTCAAACAAGGGTCATCCGCTCCGAAGTCAGCTTGATATCAACTGAACTAACGGAGCCCCCGTGTTCACTAGTTTCAGCCAATACATAACTGCATTCATATAGCGCATATCCACGCTTTACAACTATTATTACCCTAGCAGACCCTAAAACACCCAGCAAGATTATCTGCTTCCCAGGAAGCACACAAAGCAAACTGCAGATAGCATGAGCTCAAACACTAACAACCTGACTAGATCTTTCACTGTCTATTGCTGGGTGCCCATTCCCATCTGGATGAAATAAGGAACATTTGTGTAAAGTGCTTTTCCCAAGGACACAACGTCGGGCCCCTTATCAGATTTGAACCCTGAACCTTACATTTGCGAATCCGAGAGCCTAACCATTAGGCCACTGATGCCACAACAGTAAGAAAAGATTACCTTCATTTGTAAGACCAGATCTTCCACGGGTCTACGGCTGATCTCTGGGGGAGAGAACTTGGTGAAGTCGCTGAACACAGCAGAAGAGTACAGCCTGAAGGGAAAGAAAAACTGGGTGGTTGGTGGGTGGTGTGGCTTAGTGATCCTTTTCTATAATCTATTGTCCTCATCTCTCCTCCTTCTTTTCTTTGAATGTAACGCCCGAGAAACATCCTTTATCTTCGGCATTTACATGGCCTAATTGCGTTGCAAGAGCTGTAAAACTCTTACTTAATCTAAAGTGAGGGTGAAAACAAAATCGTTTTTCTGCAAAATAGCCTTTACAAAATGCGCCACAAAAATTTCAGACAGCTACAGTAGGTTCTGCATATTCTTTTGGACCCTCAAACAAAACAAAAAATAATCTCCTTCACCACTATAAATTATTAAAAAAGAAGCCAATTTTAAAAAAATTACATCTGGCCATGCCCAACAGCAAACCATCTTCAAAGACAGTATCAAAGCCCCTATTTATATTTTTACCAAAATAGTGGAGTGGATGGGTGTTGCAGTATAATAATATGCTCACTAAAAAGGTCTAATAAACATAATTATCTACATTTAGCAAACACATTCTGTGTAAAGATAGTTAAGTTTAAAACATTTCAATGTCAGAAAAGGCGTAACTGCTACCACCAGCATCTGTAGCACAGTGAGTCGCAAACTTGACCAACACATTAAAAGCCAGTGTTAAATAATGTGAGGAATTAGACTTTTACCCATCCTCTCATGAAACTTTAAACATGACATGGTATCCTACCTCGTAATGGAGTTTTAAACAACTTCAACAATGACATAATTTTTTTGAAAAATAGTAACTGACAAGAGATTACAGAGCACAACAATCTATACTACTAACTATGTGCGTCACCTGTAGCAATGTCCAGGCCCCATACGGCCAGCACGTCCAGCCCGCTGGTCAGCAGAAGCCTGGGACACCCACGTCACCCGGAACGTGGACACACCGGTCACTTTGTCGTAAAACTTGGTCTTTGTCTGGTGGTGGCGGTCATCAAGAATATAATAGAGATATTTTTGTAACATATCATAAAGGGTAAACATTAAAGAGGCAAATCATTTATGATGCACAAATCATTTGCGTCACGACACGGTGGGATCAGGCTCTCGTCAATTTCGGGGCATTGGGAGTTATTGGTATAATCTTACAGCTAGTTCATTTGCCTTGCTTTTTTTATTTTAAAAATACTCTTCTATCTTGAATAGAAGTCAAGATACTGGCGATTGAAAGAAGTGGTGGTCATCTGGTTTCAGAAGTAAAATTAGCGAGAAAATAGCGGCCAAAGTCTGGTGACTTTCAAAGCTTGAGTGTTCCTGATTACTACAAATTTACATTTTTGGTGCCTTCAATCCACGTTTTTCAGTAACATCAAATTTGAAATTTGTTTTTAAATGGACATAGAAGATGTCAAACCTAAAAGGGAAAAATTGATAAAAATTGCCAGACCGGCAGAAAAGTGTCACATTCTTCGAATTCATCATTTTGACGAGCGGATTGCAAAAGTAACTTATTTTGTCAGCAAGCTTCACATTCACATATAGAGTTGGCCGGAGAGAGCCAGAAGAGTCCATACCTTGCCCGTGTCCACCACGTATCTGACGTTGGGGATGGTGAGCGACGTCTCAGCGACATTGGTTGCGATGACACACAACCTGCAGCCCTCAGGTGGGGGTTCAAACACCTGGTGGTAGACACAGATACAGATACAAGCCACAGATTTATCTTCTTACCTGTTTCCTTGCCTGAGGGGTTTCAACATTTGTGCAAGCCCAGTATGTGTTTGGGTGTTTTTTTGTATGAGTTTTACGGCAATTACAAAGTAACACAATTAGATCGTATAAGGAATGAAGATTAGGTGTTATAAGAGAGTAAAATTACACCCAAAAAAAAAGGAATGAGGAGAGATAAGGACTATAGATGTTTAATAGGAAAGAAGGAGTAAACCACACCAGAGCACCTGCCAACCACCTACGACCGGCGTGTTATAAATGTGATAAGTCAAAAGTGGTGTTGGGAGAAGCTAGTCACTGGACTTATTTTATCAAATAAAAAAGACAAAAGCAAAAGAATTAAGTGCAAGATTAGAAAAACATTTTCAAAAATACATACAAAATGGATTTATGAATAAAAAAGGTATGTTTTGCAGGTGTCAAAACAATATATCAGTTATATAGTGTGGGTACAATTCACTTGTCTGAAACATCAACGACAATGCACAAGTTAAAAAAATTAGGGATGATAACATTAAATCTTCTGCCAAAAACATACCTTCTCCCAAGTCATTTTGACGCCATATCTAAATGTAGTGACCAAATACATAAATAAGTATGTCCCCGCAAAAGTCAGACTCTGTTCCTTCGAACGCTACCACTCATTTTTATCTGCTCCTTTTGGACTTCGATGCAATTTCTCTCCCTCCCTCCCTCTCACACACATTAACACCCACACAGTCAAACTCATAAACAGACACTCACAAACACACACACACACAGAACCAAACGGACAGATGAGCTTACCAGTGCCTGTTTCTCTGAGGACAATAGGGAGTAGAGAGGCAAAACGAACAGAGGTATAGAGCTGTCCGGTTTGTCTTCTTCCATTCGCTCCCTCTGCAAAAAAAATAAATAAATAAAACATTATTTTTACTATTGTCATTTAAAGCAGACGACTAGAGCTTACCACACTTAACCCCTTCATTGCCTTATGCAAGTCTACGTCATGAAAATGCCTAATTTTTCGCACTGTGCTGTACTATGTACATCACGGAAGTAGGCAAAATATGCCACTGGGCCACTCCTGGTTGCCTATACGACGTTATATGTACGCCACGCTAATAACCTGGCTCTAATTCTTTTGTACAAAGTTTCATCTACACGCCGTGCGTTGATTCGTATTGGGGAATGAAAGATGAGCGAACCAGTACCAAATTTGCTAGTATTACTTTACTGCAAGGCTTGCAAGCGATTGATAAAGACAGATCTAGGCTTGCGGGTGGCCGCGTGCTCTCGTAAAACGTAATCAAAGTCAAATAAATTCACTTTTTGACTTAGATTTGCAGGTTATTCGAAATTACGAGTAAGATGGGAGGAAATGGGGAACACAATCGAAGACCCGGTGTCCGAAATATGTCACGAGTGAGCTAGATCTAGACCGTGCATCCATTAACACTGGGACACTAGGCTGTTGTCCTGAGAAACGAGCTCAGCTGAAAATCAGTGCTGACAGTTGGAACGCATACCCCCTGGCAACGAAAGGGTTAATCATAAGAAGAAGAAGAAATTTCATATAAAAACCTGTTTGCACAAAAATGGTGCTTAATGCACTTTACAATAAAACAAAGACATATGCACCATGCAGCTCCAATATAGTGATCCTTCCTCTCCCATCTCTCTTCCTCCGCTTTAGTGAATGCGCATATATTCCGATGTAGGCCTACTACTAAGCCCAAAATTTCAAAATTTTGACAACTTTTATTTTTGGAGGGGGGGGGGGGGGGGTTGTTGCAGTTTCTTGATCAGTGGTATCGGTTGCATGTGCTCAAGAAATACTTTGTCAAAATTTAAATTCTAACTGTTGATAAAAGAAAGGAAAGATATACAATTTTTTTTATGAATTAAACTTTTTTTTCTCTCTCTCCTGAAAACTTTTGCTCTCTGGGTTTAGAACAGTTGAATAACTTGCCAGCAATACAATTTGTTTTTAGTGAGAGTTTTACGGCACTTGCAACATAATAAGGTCAAATAAGTGCCAAAGATTAGAGGTGTTACAAGAGAGTAACAAACACAAAAAAAGGAAGAGGAGAGATCAGGATGATCGGTGTTTGATAGGAAAGAAGGAGCAAACCACCCCAAAGCACCCACCAATACGGATGACTGGACCAACCTGAAGCATTTATTTATGTGTTACACAATCCTCGTCTTCCATATTCAGCCAACCTTGACACTGTTGTTAGTCTAGCAAGCAACATGACCGCAAAATAAAAAAACATCCGCTCACCATTTCTTCATCAAAGTCGTCACCCTCCTCATCGTCCTCAAAGTCCCCGGGAACATCCTCAGCCTCCCTTTCCTGCATCTCTGCCTCTTCGTCATCTTGAGGTAGCACGGAATAACTAAAATACAAAAGGTCTGAAATCTGAAGTTGTTGCTCCACACATAAAACAAACTGTGGCTGTTGGGGGTTTTTTGTGGGGATTTTTGTTTGTTTCGGGCGGGGGGGGGCGTTTGTAAGTGCTTTACGGCGCCCATTTAAGCTCACGGGACACATTATACATTTTCAGTTGATAGAAAATTTTGAAATTTGCCCCGGGTGGCGTCCGAAGCCTACTTTTATCGATTTTCGACCACAAATGGATCTATAACGGGCGCAAATGGCACACTGGATCTCCGAGATTCTTTGCAATTATCCAAGAAGGCTAGGAGTTAGATCTTACCTACCATAAGATCAGGGGTGTGGTTGAAAGACAACAAGCCAAGGACTAGCAGTAGAAAGACTGCAGAAAGAGTCAGGAGCCCGGAGGAGGGGAAAAAAGGAGGTGGAGGGTGTTTAACAGTCAATGAATGTCGACAGTCAAATTCAAGAAAACGGCATGCTGCAAAACCCTTCTCTTTTTAAAACAGAAATAAAAAATGATCATTGTTTCTTCTTCCAGTGGAAAGTATACAGATCTCAAGCCCTTTGTCATTACTTGTCAGCCTTAACCCCTTCACTGCCACATAATTCAACCAGTGACTGCCAGGGAGTCAACCTGTATTCAGTGCCACAAATGCTGGTTTTTCTATAAGTAATTTACCAGAATCATGAAACTCAACAAGGCAACTACAAAAACGGTTTTACAATTTGCCTGTGAAATTAATATAGTAATGGTATTATTTTCCATTTCACTATACCGAAGGTAGAAATCAGGCAACAAATGGTCTCGGTCAAAGCAGTGTCAGTGAAAAACAAGAAAAATATGTCAACACTATAAAGGTAAATTATTGTTAGAAAAAAACAACAACAAGACTGAAGAGAGAGACAACAGGAACAGGAAAAAAAGTAGGATTTAACAGTGAGGGTCTATTATTGCAAAAAATATCCATCTTAAAAAGACCAAATAAAATAAACTAAGACAAAGAGACCAAAGGACAATACAAAACTATATATAGATATCACATATCCAAAATAGCACAATACTGTCTCCGAAAAAAAAATTGTGTTTTTCTTTAATTTTAGTAAGAGTTTTACAGCACTTGCAACACAATCAAGTCATATAAATGCCGAAGATATTAGGAGTGACAAGAGAGTAACAAACACAAAACAGAAGGAGGAGAGAAAAGGACAATAGATGTCTGTGATAGGAAAGAAGAAGCACACCACACTAGAACATCCACCAACCACCCGTCCACCCTCTCCAAAGTCTTTAGCAAATTACATTTATCTCAAAAAGATCAAATGAAATAGACTAAGACAAAGGACAAAACAAAATCTATAATACAGATATTACTATCCAAAATGGCAACACTGTCGCTGAATTTTTTTCCTTTAGTTTTTGTCAGAGCTTAACATCACTTGCAACACAATTAGGTCATATAAATGCAGAAGAATGGAGATGTTACAAGAGAGTAACAAACACAAAAAAGGAGGGGAGATAAAGACGATAGATGTTTGATGGGAAAGAAGGAGCAAACCACACCAGAGCACTCGCCAACCACCTATAGAGCATCCACCCACCTGTCCAAACTGACTTCCGGTAATGTACTCAGCTCCTCTTTCTCTTCCTTGGCTTTCTCTTTCTCTTTCTTTCTCTCTCGACGAGACTGTTTCTTTCCTTTCTCAGGGACTCCTGTAGTTATAACATAGAAGAATCTTATTTGAGTTTGTTTATTTGAGTCAAAGAGACAGACATCGGAGCAATGACAGTCATTTCCAGCTGGGACAAGGCAACGCAATCCACAAAACAGGAAAGAGGCAAGTCACCAAGAGGGTCTGACAATTAGGAACCTTCAACAATCAGTAAAAATAGAGCAGAGGAAGATAGGACTGACAAAAATACTTATAAAAAGTTGTACTCCAGAAGCTTGTATGATTCTTTACCATGCTGTCGAATAGCCTACCAGTCTTAAACCTTAATAAAGACTGACCTTGACCTCGAGAGTAAGGAAAAAGTCTCCTGAGCTTCTTGGCCAGAGTGTGCACTTCCTGCTGTCCTGTCACAAACACAAGGATACCTCCCTCAGGGAGGGTTCTGTGAATTTTACAGACCTGGGGAAAACAAAATTAGAATACAGTCGAACCTGCTCCTCCTATGCCCATCACATATATAAGTCAATCACATGTATATATACAAAAGGCCAGTTCACAAATCCCCTCTTGCAAACTTTTTACACTATAATGACTCTGTGTTAGACGGCTACCTGTTTAAGATGGCCACTTTTCTCATCGGCAACGTGCGGCCGTCTCATCCAAACTGTTCAACATTTCAACGCAATTTGAGGGCTTTCACATAATGAGAACAGTGTTTTTTATATTAGTAAAGCTTTTACAGCACTTGCAACACAATTAGGTCACATAAGTGCACACTATACGTGCATAAGTGCCATACCATACACAAATAGAACATGTATGTCTGAGGGGGACCTTGGTTTAACAGACTGGCAAAAATTAGAGCTGAACTGAACAAAAAGAGAATGCAAAGAAGAAAAGATGTCTTCCTCATACCAAAGAGGTCCCAGTGTATACGTGGCACCCCCACAAGGCATAGGAGTCACTATCCTGCTTTTCCCCTTTTCCTACTGATGGGTTAGCAGACCATTTAAATACAACCTCACCCACTCTAAGTAATGGTGTTTTGCTGTCTTTCAAGCATGCTAAAAAAACAGTGATGTCCTTTTACCTTGCGGTAGGCTTCAGTGACATAGTCCTCCACTGTACGTTTGTTGAAATGAATGGTCACAGGGAACTGACGAGCATCCACCTGAAGGAAAAAGAGCAATCTATTTCGAGTGGGAATTTTTAACATGATATTCGTCGGCCTGAAACCCAGCGCTTTCTGCAAAATGCACGCAGTGGATAGAACAGAAGGTCCTTAATTTTTGTTTTCACTAACATTCTCTTTGACTTCAAGTGTAACTCACTGGGATATGACGTTTTACACACTGCTTTTCTTTTTTTTTCAAATCAGTTCTTTCCATTTCTTCATCAACAGAGCCAAATAGACCAAAAAATATGGGGAGCATATTTACGTAGAAATGAACGTAAATTGTGGAAAACATGTTTTAGACTTAAGACAAAAGTTCAACAGCACACTATTTTATTCTTCAACACAACCGAACCAAAAACAATATAATCTATGAGCTCAACTTTAGACACCTGTTTACCTGACACTTCTCGTCCTTGGTGGACATGGAAATGTGGCAAAATATTGTTTCTATCAAAAAACATTTACCTTGATAATTGGTGGTGGTTTACTGTACTTGAAGAGGGAGGGGCCTGTGAAGTCCTCAACTCGCAGAGTAGCTGACATGACAATGAGTTTCAGAGGCCGGCCGCGCTGAAGAAGACATTAAGTAACAGACTTTCCATAGATCAAACTTACAATAAGAGAATTAAGACCTCTTTGAAGTACCCAACTGAACAAGAAATTATCCCATGCGATTTTTTATTTTCAAAAAAACAGATCAAAGTCAAGATAGAGTTGACTAAAATACTCTTTGAAAAGATTCACGAGAGCAGCACTTTAACAGACAGTTGCCAGAGATCACTGCTTTTTCCTATGGTGAACCAGCTAACATACTAGCAAAAAGAAAATCAATGCAAATGCCGGAGTATCACTGCTGAATACACTTCTATGTTGCCATAACGTTATAAATCCACAATCAATGTAGTCAAAAATAATTTAGCTCAGATTTGATTCAAAGCCTGTCCATGCTGAGGTCAAAGTTCTGCTCCAACTGCTTACCTTTACCGCAGACACTCAAGTACCAAGTTCAGAACTGTTTTTATTACATTACCACAACTATATTCGTGACTCTATGTCAGTTACTTGTATCACAGTGATTTTTCACAATACACATTAAAATGACAGGTACACAGGAAATGACAATGAGAAATACGTATCATCAGCCAGGCCATGAGTTAATACAGTACATTTTAAGTCTGGCAGGGCATAGAACTTTCACTGCAACACCATATCAAAGAGAAAAACTTTCCAAAAAATACCTTTTCTCTCTGGCGCACCACTATAGACAGGAGGCCCACGAGGATGTCTGTGTACACACTCCGTTCGTGGGCTTCGTCAATGATGATCACTGAATAACGGCTCAGCAAGGGGTCCTGGGTGGGTCAGAGGTCAAATTCATAAACTACAAAAAAATTGCGAAAAATGAGTGATCCCAAAACAGCCCTTGACAGAAAAAGCTGTCAGCTAGATGAATACAGTAGATTCCGCTTTAACCAAACATGTCTAATCCGAAAGCAGCGATAAATGGAAAGAAATTAAATTCCTAGACTTTTTGTTTTCTTCTATTTTAGCAACCTCTTTAAGCTTATAAAACCGAAGAAGATCTGACAATCCCGCAGATTTTGGTTAAAGTGGACTTCTCTGTATAAAGGGAACACCTTTATATAAAAACATCAAGTGGTACAAAGATATGGTAAATTATAGAATTTTTCCACATATTAAATGAAACTACCAGACCAAAACCATCAACACTGACCTTAAAACAAAAGGCGAAGAGAAACTATATACTAAATATTCAATCAAAAACTTATAACTTTTCTAATTATGGCAAGGTGGAAAATAACAGTCTACTGCATTTTGCTGCAATCTAGTGCTGCTTTATAATATCAATGAAAAGGAAAAGCAAGACAAGCATAGCAGGATTCGTTGTTGTTGTTATCGATTCAGTAACAGCTGGACTCTTGCCCTTCTGCTCAATGCCATGTAGAGCCATGTACATTAATAATTAATAATAAAAGCAAATACAGCCAATGTTCAAACAGGGGCGTAAGTGAATCTTGTATTATCATTTGAATCCTTTTCCCCTATTTCGTCTCCAGTCCTCTGTCAGCTGACCTGCTGGGCCTCCTTCAGCAAGACACCGTCCGTGAGGAACTTGACCCTTGTGTCGGGCGTGACATTGCCCTCAAACCTGATCTGGTACGACACATCTCTGGACGTCAGGTTCATCTCCGTGGCAACACGACGGGACATGCTGATGGCTGCCACCCTCCTGGGCTCTGTTACTCCAATAATTCCTTTACCACTGAAAATGATGGAAAATGTCAAAGACTTGAAATAGTAATATAGTAAAGAAGTTAATTCAGTGTTTAAGGCCATTGGCCCACACCACATCATATAAAACATTCATTTGTGAATTAAAGTTTCCATAATAAAAAAATGTACAAGTTGTGCTCATATCTCTTATCATGGGTCAAACATTGCATATTTCTGTCACTGGGCCGAGTCAGGCTGGGAGGAATTAATAATTTCCTTTCATGGACAAAATATGGACAATAGAAAATAAAGTGAAATTCATCTTCAATTTCATGAGAGTTACACCTTCACATTAGGGTGAATTTATAATTTCCATTGAAAGAGACTTGAAAGTAGCTGAGCAAAAAGATTTCTTAGCATATTGATTTGTGAACACAGGTATGGTGTACAGATAGGGAAAGCTAAACGTAGGATGAAACGCATCACACCATAGAACAGTTTCAGGAAAAACATAGAAACTTCAGGAGTTGTTTGCTCAGCACTGAAAAAATCTGCTGGGGTTTTATGAAAAATAATTGAAAATCTACAAAGTTGCATATACAGTCAAATTTGTCCAAAATGACTACCCATTGCCAAGGAGAAAAATGGGGTAGTCTTACATTACATAATGAAACGCAAGGGGCGAAATGGGAAGTGGTCATTGGAACAGGTGGCCATTAGAGAAAGTTCGACTGAACTTGCAAAGGAAAAGACAATTAATAGGCACAACGAACATGGGGTTAAACAGAAACCAAATGCTGAGAATGATAATTATTCTTAATGAAAATAAAAGAAATAGCTGGAGAAAAAAAACCAACATCCTTGTGTAATAATAATAATAATACTATCCTTCCTTAACTTACCTGGCGCTCTGTTGACTCAGTATCGTGCTGGACTACAGAGCATATGGCCCTGGTTCAAATTCCAGACTGTGCGTTCTTGAACTCGGGTCGTTTGAGGAGTTTTCAAGACTCTCAACCCATTTGGCTCAATCTTAAAGCAAAATGTTAAAGAACCACAAACCTTGGTGAAGTGTCTTTAGGCCATTCCCAAAGTGGGGACATTTCTAGTTCTAGTGCACAGTAGAATTGTGAATGGGCTGATCTAACAATGTCATGCTCATAACTGTGCCTGAAGTACAACAGGGAACTGCTGCTTTTTCTTTCATAATCCTTACTATTGTCATTTTTTCCTCTACTTCTTTTGAATGTTTGTCACACTCTTGTGACCCGCTATTTCCAGGGTCCCTTGATAGTTGAAGCAGACTTTGAGCTGCTAAAGCTAGAGAGGTGAGCAGAGTAAGTCTGATTCCCTGTAAGGACTTCTCTGCTGACATCCGTCCCTTGGCGCTCATATGACCTTATGCAGTTGCAAGCGTCATAAAACCTCTACTAAAAAAAAAATTTGTTTTTGTTTTTGTTTACAAAGAATAGTTGGAAAAATAACAGGTGAGAGACTCACTGAGCATATCCAGCCTCGTACAGAAACTGTGGCACCTGAGTTGTCTTCCCTGACCCTGTCTCTCCGCAGATGATGACCACTGGGTTCTCGTTGATGGCTTCCATGACGACCTGCTCCTCTGCTAGGATCGGCAACTTCAACCTTCCTTCCTGGGAATGACACGCCAACATCACTGTCAAGTAGGGAACTTGCCTTCAATATTTTCATGTTTGAGATCCTTTATCTACACGACAACAGTACAATTTCTGAACTCCTGTTGTCTATACATGACCCACATATGATAAAAATGACACTTCATAGTGTAATCTATGAGTAATTTAGTAGCAATGACCACGAAAAACTTTTTTTTGTCAAAAAGTGTTTGCAAATAGGTGCATTTTGTAGCTGTATCTTCAAAGAAAAAGGAACTTTTTGAATTTTTGAAACCCATCAATAGACAAAAAAGTTACGAATTTTTTTATCTATTAATTTTTGATAGACTTTTATATAATGAAAATCGGCAGAACAAAACGCGCTCGGTGGGCATTGCTAAATTTAGGTGTTATAAACACCCTGCAACAAAGAAAAAAATGTAACCCTCTGAGTTTTTTAAATAATGTTGAAACTGCAATAATACTCAGCTTCCCTTCTCACCTGCATCTCTGGTTTTCTGTTAAGAGGAATGAACACTGCTGGTTTGGGTGGATCTTTGCTTTTTTCTGCAGTCTGCGTAACATCTCCAGTCTGTGGAACTTTCTCATCCTGCGTATGGACAACAGAGAATAGAACATCATAATAACGCTGTCTGTCACATCTTCTTCGCACATTAGAAGATTCGAAAATTGGGCTAGTAATATATTTTTTTTAAAGTGTTTTACGGCGCTCGCAACTGCATGAGGTTATATGAGCGCACGGGACACATTAAACATTTTCACTTGGTACAAAATTTTAAACTTTGCCAAGGTGGCGGCCGAAGCCTGCTCCTATCAATTTTAGACCACCAAGGGATCTTTAGCGGCCGCAACGTGCTCATGAGCGCTCCGAGATTTTTGCCCTTGTCCGAGAAGGCTAGGTGTAGATCATTCCTACCAGAAGATCAGGGGTATGGCTGAAAGACACCAGTAAGAAGGCAAAAGGAGCCAAGGAGTAGCAGTAGAAAGGCTGCAGAAAGGGCAAGCAGCCCAGAGGAGGGGGAAAAGTGGGTGAGAGGGTGGGGGCAGAAAGTGGAGATGAAAGTAGACAACAGAACATTGCTAGAGAGCAGGAAAGGAGGTTAAAGGAGACAATTTTTAGAGAAGAAAATGTTTCAGTTGCTACCCACATTCCAACCCCAGATCTTTGAATGAGAGGCAAACACCTTAACCTCTAGGTCACAAGAACACTTAGGCCAGTAATTAAGCGTGATGTAATGGGATATGAATGAAAAAGAAAGAGAGTGAAACAATAACAGAGAAGCAGACGGAACAAGAGAGAGAGAGAGAGAGAGAGAGAGATAGAGAGAGAGA